AACAAGACATTCTATCTTTCAGCTCTGGATACTCTTTCTGGCTGTCCCTCATCCCTGGAATGCTCTCCCTCCTCCACTCTGACTATTGACCTCCCTGGCTCCTTTTTTTTTTTTTGTGGGGCTAGGCAATTGGGATTAAGTGACTTGCCCAGGGTCACACAGCTACTAAGCATCAAGCTTCTGAAGCCGAATTTGAACTCAGGTCTTCTTGACTCCAAGGCCAGAGCTCTATTCACTGAGCCACCTAGCTGCCCACTGGCTTCTTTTAAGTCTCAACTAAAATCCCACTTTCTATAGGAAACCTTCCCTAATTCCTCCTAAATCTAGTGCTTTCCCTCTTTTAGTTACTTCCTATTTATCTTGTATGTAGCTTGCTTTGTATATATTTGTTTGCATGTTGTCTCATCCCTACCCCCACAGCATTACATCGTAAGCTCTGAGAGCAGACTGGTTTTTGCCTACCTTTTGTATCCCCCAGCACTTAGCATGGTGTTTGACATATAGAAGGCAGCAGGGATAGTGGGAGAAATTTTGGTGATGTAAAAAAAAGATGAATACAAATTAATTTTAAAACATTTTGTTAAAGCCCTGTGCAGAAATAATTATTTTACATATTACAATCTTGTACATTTCTCTTAGGTGAATTAAGTTTAAAAAAAAAGACAGGTCTATAAACCAATATTTCCTTCAATGTCATAAAAGCTGAATAAACTTAAAACAGTTATAATCTCATACATAAACAAACCTAGTTAAACAGACTTTATAGGTAAACTATGTCAGGTTACAGACTAAATTACATTTAGAAAGTTTACAAACAGGCTAATTGAAAAGGCAGATTTACATGTCCCCAAGGAGTCAGGGACAGCTGAGATTCTTCCTCTGGCTTTTCATCTAACGAATGTTTAAGGCCTTAAGTAAATTTTCACATCTTATGGGACAGGATTTGGTCAGGTGAGGTTAATATTAAGAGAAGACAGACTTTTAGTAAACCAAAAATTGCAGGAGGAATGGCCCTGAGCTCCTAATTAAAAAATTAATAAAAGGAAATTAAAACTTCCCATTAAAATCACTTGTTATGGGAGAAAAAGTTCCTCTCTGAGTTCCAGTGGTAGGTAACTGCTGCCAAAATATATTTACTACAACACAGAAATTATAGAGGCAAAAACCTAGGTTTTATTATTATGCTAAAGTATAGGTGGAGGACTCGGAGAAAACCTGATCCCTAATTAGGAGTCTAAAAAAGCCCTCTTATAGACAAAATTATGTCACAGGGACAGAGAAATAATTCTTTTTACATATTGCAATCTAGTACATTCCTCTTAGACCATAAAGAAGAGATGGATCCATAATCCCCATGCTTCCTTCAATATCACAACAGTTGGATAAATTTAGTTAAACAGATTCATAGTCTCAGACAAACTCTATAAGTAAGTTAAATCAGTTTTTAACTTAAAACTATATTTAGAGGGTACACAAATAGGCTAATTGAGGAGGAAGATTTACTTGTCACCAAGGAGTCAGGGCCATTTAAGATTCTTCTTCTGGCTTCTTATCTAAGGAATGTTGAAGGCTTTACATACATTTTTACAACCTATGAGACAGGTTTTGGTCAACTTAACAACCTTTCAAATAGGAGAAAAGGCCCTGACCTTCCCTTAACATTATTATTCTATGAGTCAGGTTTTAGTCAGGTGAGATTAATAATGACTGATGAGATTTTCCTTACTGTGCTATCCAGCTATCATTTGTTTCATCGTGATATAGCGTAGCAGAATACTTGACCCGTTTAGACCTGGCCTGACACTGTCTAGCTATCTAACCACGGGTAGTTTCCTCATTTGGAAAATGATGGGACTAATAAGCCCCATCCAAAAATTCCCATTACACATCCTAAAGATGCTCAAAGAAAAACAAAATTATCTTTATTGTTGAACGCCTTTATGTGAAGCAAGAAAGTAGTCTGTTTTATTTTATAAAGATTTTTCAAAAAAAAATGACTTGCCTGACTAAAGTCTTTACTCAGAAAAATAAACTAAGGAAAATATCCCAATCAATAAGGGCAGCCAGGTGGTGCAGTCGAGATAGAGCATTTGCCCTGCAGGACCTGAGTACAAACGTGACCTCAGACACTTGACACTTAATAGCAGCGTGATTTTGGGCAAGTCACTTACTTCCAATTGGCTCACAAAACAAATAAAACAATCAATAAACATTAATTAAGCACTTACTAGTGATAGGTACTGTGCTAAGGCTAAGTAGTGAGGATACTAAAAAGAGACTAAAAATATTCCCTGCCCCTTAAGTAGCTTACAATCTAACAAGAAAGACAACAAAGAACAAATTTGTGTGTATATGTATATGTGTATGACAAACAGCAAATAATTACCAGAGGGAAGGCACTAAAAATAAGGGGGATTGGGAAAGACTTTCTATAAAAGATGGGTTTTAATTGGGACTTGAAGGAAGCCAGGGAACTCAGTAGGTGAAGTTGAAGAGGGAGAACATTCCAGGCATGAGAGACAGCCAGAGAAAATGCCCAGAGCCAAGATATGTGATGTGTTCCCCACCTCTGGGCAATCAGGATTAGTGCCTTGCCCAGGGTCATACAGCTAAGTAAGTGTCAAGTGTCTGAGGCTGGATTTGAACTCAGGTCCTCCTGACTCCAGGGCAATTTCCACTTCACCACCTAGCTGCCCATGGGATGTCTTTTTAATGGAACAGCAGGAGCCCAGAGTCACTGGATTGAGGAGTACATACTGGTGAATAAAGTATAAGACTGGAAAGGTAGGAGGGGGCTGGGTTATAAAGGGCTTTGAATGCCAAAAAGCATTTTGTATTTTTTCCTGGAGGCTGTAGTAAGCCACTGGGGTTTATTGAGTTGGGGGGGGGCTTCCAGGGAGGAGTGTGTGTGTGACATAATCACACCTGCATTTTAGGAAAAATCACTTTAGTGGCTGAATGGAGAACAGACTGAAGTGGGGAGAGACTTACAGTAGATAGCCCCACTAGCTGGCTATTGCAGTAATACAGGTATGAAGTGATAAGGGGCTGCACTAGAGAGGTGGCAGTGTCAGAGGACAGAAGGGGGTATATGAGAGATGTTGCAGAGGTGAAATTGACAGGCCTTGGCAACAGAGCAGATACAGGGGGAGGGAAGAGGGGGAAAGATAGTAAGGAGTTCAGGATGATGCCTTGGAGCCAGAGTGACTGGGAGGATGGTGTTGCTCTCTACAGTAATAGGGAAGTTTAAGAGTAAGGGGAAGGGTAATGAGTTCTGTTTGAGACATGTAGAGTTTAAGATGGCTACTGGACATCCAGTTCTAGATGTCTGAAAGGCAGTTGAAAAATGCAAGACTGGAGGTCAGCAGAAAGGTTGGGGCAAGTATGCCCTGGATGAGGATCCATTAAAAGAGCCAGAGGAGGAGTCAGATTGATAGGAGGAGAACCTGGAGAAAGAAGTGTCCAGAAAACTATTCCCAAGGTTTCTGCTGCTAACTCATGCCTTGATTGACTCCACTTCCCTGGCCCCCCCCCCCCTCTGATCCATTTAGAGTGAAGGAGGGTGGAGTACCAAACTCCTCCCAAAACCTTCCTTTATATCTGGTGGAAACTGGACTCTCAGATCACTCCACCCCACATTTGCTGCCCAGCAAGGGCCAATCATCACCCTGTGATGTCACTGGTCCACCTGGGTGGGAGGGTCAGGAATGAAGGACAACAACAAATGTTTATTAACTGACTGAAAAAGATCCTGTCTTTGGTCTGGTACAAATGATATTAGCCATAAGTCATGACTGCACAAGATGGGTAGTAATTTATTACAAGAGAAAGGAACATGCATGTGGTAACTCCTTATTCCTGGGAGCTAGCTCTACAGACAATGCCTTGGATGTTTATGGGGTAACAACAAAAAGGGGATGTCTTACGGGAGGAGTGGAGGGCAATCCCTTTCCAAATGGGAGTGGTATGGGAGGAGGAAGGGAGCAGAGAGCTTGGGAATGATGGACCATGAAGGAAGGATGTGTATCCTTATCTGAAAGACTCAGCTTCAAGGGCACTGAAAGCTTAATAGAGTTCAGTTGCAAACAATCACTGTTAAGTTAGTTCAGGGGGGTTTCATCTCAAGAAAATAATGCAACTCAAGAAAACAAGTTGGGGGAGTGGTCTTTACAATGGTTAGGCTAAAGGCTTTATAACAATTTAAGCATCTTTCTTCCTTTCGCTAAAAATGTACCTTTTTATTTACGTGGCCTTCATCTGTCTATCTGTAACCAGGTGCTGGCTTATTCCTGCAGTGTCTAGCAAGGACCTTGAATATTCTTCTAACACTACTGAAAAACTCTCCAGCTGTATTCATTACCTTTTTCTTATTGGAAAAGAATGAGGGCAGCTAGGTGGTGTAGTGGGTAGAGCACCAGCGCTGGAGTCAGGAGGACCTGAATTCAAATCCAGCCTCAGATACACAATACTTCCTAGCCGTGTGACTCTGGGCAAGTCACTTAACCCCAACTGCCTCACTAAAAATATAAAAAAAATTTTTTTAAAAGGGATGTCTTTTCCTGGGCAAGTCACTTAACCCCATAGCCTAGCAATAATACCAAAAAAAAAGTATGAAGTGTGTGGTTCAGATGTATGGAAGGCCCTACTGTTAAATTTTCAGTGTAAGCTGAACATCCTGGAAATCAGCAAACCCTACAAATCAGGGTCTGATTGTTTTGTGGTCTAAACTTTAAAAAGTAATGGAGAAAATATTAATATTATTAGATTATTATTACAAATGTTGTGCAGTGCTGATAAAAATTATTCAGGATTTGTTGATAGGTGCTACCAATCATACTTATTAAAACGCAGAGACATTTTAATAACTGGTTTATTATATATTGGAAGCACAGTCTCATGGTTTAAAAAGAAAGGGAAAAAAAAGAAAACCAATGGTCCATGAGTAGCACTTCCTGAAAATCTTACATAGGACAAAGCAGGATGGATATAGTCATTCATACCTTTTACATTTAAGGTTTAAACATCAAAGAACCCAGACACATTAGCAAAAAGCCGAAGCTGGTATCCCAAGCTGGAATCTGCAAACTAACCAGGAAACAATCACTCTCAGAACACAGAATTAATGACTGAGCTAGAAATTCTTTCATCATTAACCAGTTAATCACCTAAGTTAAAGTTTTGGAGCTCTCAGCTCAATTCTGAAAAGCTTCAGCTAAGCAAGTGCATGACCCATGACTCAGGCGAAATGGCCCCAGTACTAAAATGCTTACGACTGTATTCCCCCTCCCCCCCAGATCCCGCTGTTACAACATTTAACAACACACCTCTCATTGCATAAAATGTTGCCTAGCTTGCCTCCCAACCCCCAAAACACACTTCAGATGTAATAATTAATAAATACAAAGAAACCAAGAGACTAACCAGGAAAACCCCAAATTCTTCTTTTCCTTCTTGCTAGTGGCAGACCTCGCTCCCAACCTCATTTCTGTCCTCCGTAAATTCTCCCCCCTCCTCCTTCCCTTAGAAAGAGAAATTAGACCAAAGATTCCACGTGTCCAAATTCATCGCGTGCAACTCAACCCAGAATTACACCCTTCTCCCACCCCCAAGTCCAATCGGCTCAACCATCTCCCGGAGCGGAGGGAAGTGTTAGAGAACCCAGCCATTAAGAGCACCAGTGACCAGCTCGGAGAAACAATGACCCGATGTTGCTGTTGGATAAATTCCCTTATTATCAAAGATATTCTGTGCTGTTGGTGCGAGGCCTCCCCTCTTTCCCATGCAGTGATAATTTCTCCCTGCGTGGAACCCTTCCGAACAAAGGTTCTGATGGTCTGATCCACCGGCTGGGCTGGACCCTAGCTCCCGCCCTCAAACCTGAAACTGAACAGGCCGAAGAAGAGAGGAAGGCCGAGAAGGGCATCGAGGGAAAGCGCATGCGCGGCGGCGCAGTTGGCGAGGAGAGAGCCTAGAAGCCTAGGGGGCCGCGGAAGGCCTTCTCGGCCTACTGGAAGGTGAGCACTGCGGCAGCCCGCTCCAGCGAGCCCCGGCCTCCGGCGCTGTGGGCTGTGGTGGGCAGGAGGTGGTCGCCTAGGCTGGGGCCCCAAGGACTGGAGTATCCCCAGCTTATTCCACTACCGAACTCCTCTCCACCCTCTGCGACATCCCTCGGACCTCAAAGATGATAGGGAGACTAAAGACCAGAGCCCCGGCCCTTGTTTTGTGTACCACCACCAATACACATTTATTAGGTGCCTGCTGTGTACCAGGCCCTCTGCTAAGTAAGGGCTAGGGATCCCAAACCCGGAGCAAACAGTATATAAGCTGGAGACGTTCTCAGAGGCACTGGCATTAAAGGAGGAGCGGGATAGGCTCCTTGCAGAAGGTGGGATTTCAGCTGGGACTTGAAGGAAGATGAGGGCAGGGCAAATGCCCACAGTCGGGAGGTGGAGCGTCTTGTTCGTGGGACAGCAAGGAAGCCAGTTTTTTTAATAAACATCCTGTGTAAAGTTCTGTCCATTGTTCACCTCCCTACTAGGTCTAAGGAATAGGATTATGTGGATTTGGGTTTGAATACTACTCTTATCAATTGAATTATAAAATGGGGACAACACTTGGATTATCTAGTTTAACAGGGAAGATAGTGCTTGCATTATCTACTCTAAATCTACGAAGACTCTAGGGGATGGAGTAGGCTTATCTTTGTATTTATGCTTTGTAAATTTCAAAGAGCTTTTACTAACTGATTTTTCTGTCCTAGGGCCAGGTCTCCTCTTCTTTAAAAACAAACAACTACAAAAAAAACACTGGTGGGGAACCAAACATTCTGCCTTTATGAGATAGATACTATCTTATGTTTGTCATTAGATTGTAAACTACTTGAGGACAGGGGCTGTCTGCCTCTGTTGTATTGCTAGTCATGGGCACTGTGCCTGCCAGGGAGCCTGGACAAGATTAAAATGTAATTGGGAAATATTTTTTTAAATTTTTTTTTTTTGCTAGACAGTGGGGTTAAGTGACTTGCCCAGGGTCACACAGCTAGTAAGTGTTATGTGTCTGAGGCCAGATTTGAACTCAGGGAAATATTTTTAAAATTTAAAAAATACATCAAAATATGTGTGATTTTCCAAATTATGCTGCTGGATTCCTTAGTAAAGTTTAGTGGTCCCTGTTTTTATTTGAGTTTGATACCTCTAATGTAAATAATAAAGAGGGAAAGCATACTAATACTAGGATGATGAGGAAGGGTTCCACTAAGCTAAGGGCACCAGAGCTCAGCCTTAAGGGAAGCTAGGATTCTAAAAGATGGAGATGAGGAGTACATTTCTGGCACAGGGGACTGGTCAGGGGCAAAAGGTAGGTTGACTTGATTTGAAACCAGAGCTTATCCAGCATGATCATCTTACTCTCTGCCCTGTTACGGTAATGAAATCAGTATGACTGTTACTTGTCAGACAGAAACATGTTTGTCTGGTTCCCACTCCCCTTTGTCTGCCCTATCTCCCATTAAAACTATCTCACTTTGAAACTTCTCTTCCCAATACCAAGCACAGTGCGTGACTCATAGTAGGCACTTAAATGTTTATCCATTCATCTATCCAACCATCCGTCTTGTTTTGGCAGCTCTGTGAAATATTGATGAGGCTTTAGAAGACTACTGTAATAATACAGATGAGGGTTTTTGAGGACCTGAGCCAAGGTGGTGGTTATGTGAGTGAAAAGATGGGCACAGAGATGAGGATGTTGTAGAAGCAGACTCCACGGAGTTACTGATTTCCACATTTAAGGCCCTCAACACGTTGGTTCTAGGTGTCAAAGTGGATGGAGTGCCAGGACTGGAATCAGGAAGACTCATCTTCCTCAGTTTTCAAATCTGTCTCAGATACTTACTTACTAGCTGTATTAACCCTCCCTTAACCCTATCTGTCTCAGTTTACTCATCTATAAAATGAACTGGAGAATGAAATGACAAACCAGTCTAGTATCTTTGCCAGGAAAATCCCAAATGTTGTCAGAAGAGTCAGACACAACTAAATAACAACAAACAATCTTATTGAGCCCTCTCTCCAACCTTAGTCCCCTACATATTTTACATTCCACTCAATTTGGACAGCTTGCTGTTGCCCAAATTTGCCATGCCATCTCCCACCTCTATACATTTGCATAAACATCCCCAGGTGCCTAGAATGTACTCTTTCCTCATTTCTTTTAGAATCCTTATTCTTTCAAGATTTACTTTAGGTTAGAGGCAGCTAAGTGGTGCAGTGGATAAACCTCTGGCCTTGGAGTCAGCAGGACCTGAGTTCAAATCCAGCCTCAGACACTTGACACTTACTAGCTGTGTGATCCTGGGCAAGTCACCCAATTGCCTCACCAAAAAGCAAAAAAAAAAAAAGATTTTAAGTTTTACATCCCCGGTGATGTACTTACTGCCACCTATCCCCCTTTAGTGCTCTATTCTTCCTCAAATATTCTATCTGATCTCTTTGCCTCTTAATCCTTAAAGCTTCAAAGGAAATAGGGAGGGACAGGACCTGTGATATGTCTTTGGTTAAAGAGGATTCCTTCTACCAATAGAAATTCACCTACCTCCTTTGCAGTTTAGTCTTTTTTTTTCTTTTTTAGGCAATTGGGGTTAAGTGACTTGCCCAGGGTCACACAGCTAGTAAGTGTTTAATCTAAGGCCAGATTTGAATTCAGGTTCTCCTGACTTCAGGGCCAGTACTCTATCCACTATGCCACCTAACTGCCCCTTGCAATTTAGTTTTAAGGAGTTAACTGCAGAATTGAGAGATGAAATAATTTGCTCGAGATCACATAGCTATTATCTGTTGGAGGCTGGATAATCTGGTCCTCCTGGCTTCAAAGCAAGCTCTCTATCCATTAGCCAGGTTGCCTCTCAACCCTTCATAGATTTAGAGCTGACTGTTTTGTTTTCACAGTTGAAGTAACACAGGTGCACAGAGGTTAAATGACTTTTCTAAGTAGTGGTGACCCAGGCCCTCTCTCCAAAATCACCATCTTTCTTCTGCACCATTCTGCTTCTACTCTTCTAATCAGTATTTATGTGTATCTCCCCCACTTCCACCCCAGAAATGGAATATAAATTCCTCAGGGTCAGAGAATTATTTAATTTCCGTCTTTGTATCTCTGGTGCCCAGCAAAATTCCTTGCACATAACAGGCACTTAAAAAATAATATATTTTACTATTGCTATTAGTGAAATCACTAGAGAATTAATCATTTTGTGATCAGTGTTACTTAACAACAAAAATCACAATTGTGCTTCTAAGTAAGTATTCCTTGTTGAAAATTCCATTTTATCCTTCCTTTTCTTTTTTTTAGTATTAGAGATAAGAAATACTTTGAAAGTAGGTGAAGTTACAGTTGATGATATGGTTTTATTTAATTTGTTTTTGATTGTATAATTTTACAGGTCATTGCTTAGAATGCAACTGAATCTGAACAACCATGAAGTGGCTATATATAATTATGAGCTCCAAATTAAGATACTCTATTTTGGTAAATTTAGCAACGATTCCAAACCGGATGAAAGTTATTCCATGTCCTTATATCATTAGTAATAGAACGATGTCAAATTATAAATCTGAAAGGAACATCACAGAATATTACAATATACTTAACCTTGATGAAGGCTGTTCTGCTGCTGAAGTAAGAGAATCTTTTCATCAACTGGCCAAGCAGTTTCATCCAGATAGTGGATCCAATACAGCTGATTCTGCAGCATTTATACAGATAGAAGAAGCCTATAGGATGGTACTTGACCATGTAATGGACAAAAAAAAGAGACAAATTGAAGTTGAGGAAGAGGCGGATGAAGATATGCACAAATATAAAACGCCACAACATAGGCATTATTTAAGTTTCGAAGGTTTTGGTTTGGGAACTCCAAGTCAACGAGAAAAACAATATAGGCAATTTAGAGCAGATCGTGCTAGTGAACAAGCAATGGAATATCAAAAGCGGAAACTGGAAAACCAATATTATGCTAATAGTGTGACTGCTAAAAATGTAAGACAAAGTAAGAATCAAAAAATAACTCAGGCAATTGAGCGCTTAGTAGAGGACCTCATTCAGGAGTCAATGGCTAAAGGAGACTTTGATAATCTCAGTGGCAAAGGAAAACCCCTGAACAAATTTTCTGGCTGCTCATACATTGATCCTATGACTCACAACCTGAACAGGATTCTGATAGATAATGGATACCAACCAGAATGGATTTTAATGCAAAAGGAAATAAAAGATACTATTGTACAACTCAGAAGAGACATTCTGGTATCAAGGAATAAACTTGGACATCCCATGACATCAAGTGAGCTAACGCAGTGGAGCCAAGATTGTGAGAAGTTTCAAGAAAATATTAAAAAATTAAACAAGCGAATTAATTATTTTAATTTGATTGTTCCTATTCTGAACAGGCAAAAAGTTCATTTTGATGCTGAGAAAGAAATTGCCAGAGTCCTAAAAAATTATGAAAACCTAATAGAAGCAGGGAAGATGGATAATAAGAACACAATTAACATCGAAACAAAAAATGTTAAAGTGGTTGGATTCAAGGAAGGTTTTTTTAAATGGCTAAATCTATCAAAATATAAAATATGAGGATTTCAAGATTCAGTGCCATTGTGTTTCAGAGTCTTTCTTTCTTTTAAAGGTATGCTGACCTCAAACATGAGATATGTGCTATCACACTTGCAAGAATTTGTGTCTGAACATCTCTTTATTTTCTTCTTTTGTCAGTGACTCTGGAAGTTATTGAATGAACAAATTTCCAACTAGTCTTTAGGATGCATGTGTACATCAACTATGTGTCAAAAAAACCCAGCAATTCAAAGACCACAAACCCAAGAGGACTCATTTTGTGGGGAGGAGAAACCCATATTCGACAAACTTTGGATTTAAGAACATTAGTCATCGAGTGAAATGAGCTAAGATAAGAATATGGGAATGGTAAATTCAGGGTGAGGTCAATAAAGATTGCTTCCACTATTGAACTATTTTTGCCTTAAGGCTGTGTCTATTCACACCAAATGAACAAACCATTGTTTAGCTGAACTGTTTTTTCACCTCTCAGTGATTTATGCACCTCATTGCTTGATCATTTTTTTACTGCAGTTATTACTAGAGATAACTCAAAATGAAAGGAGCAGCCACTTCAGGTCCTGATTCATCCACAGTTCGTATACATAAAGTACTGTATTAGCAATAATGGATTTATGAATGTGTCCTTACTTTAACAGATGAAATAATCCCATCAACCTAAAGAAGCTTAACAGAGATAGCTTTTAATTTCTTAAGATGAGAAATTGTTCAGATTTAGCAAAATTAAACTTTAGCAAATTGAACAAAATTGGACTTTCCCCGATTCCTCTCTTATTCTACTTATATTTTTCAATTGGTAGTCCCTTTAGAAGGATGGGATGGAAATATTAAAACCTAAACAGAAAATGTGGTATTAACATTTCTAATCCCTGTGATTATTAAGAACAACAAATATGTTTGTTTCTGGGCCATTCGACTTTCCTGGAAAATGGAAAGAAGTGGCCATAGATGTTATGTTTATAGTCTATCCACTTTCAGAAAATTTGGCTTTTTTGATAGCTTCTTTGCTCACAAAAAGTAATCTGAAAAATTAAATGAAACAGGGCAGACATCCTTTAAAATATGATTATTAATTTTAGTTGTATGTGTGGTTGAGAAACTTGTGCAAATTGCCCTGATTTTGGAGGAACAAGTAGTTTTTCAAATGCATTTATGATAGTTAAAACTACTTTCCAAAAATGAGATCTCTTTCCATTCTGATAATTAGTTAGCATATGTGGTTGGTTATGTTGTTTAATAATGCACATTTTTATTTATATTGAAGCTAATTTATAAGGTCATTATTAATTCCATTAAAAATTACTGCATTACGAATTACATTCAAAATGACTATGAAATTATGTTGCTGATAAGACCTATAGTTCTCTACAGTTTCAAGAAGGCTGAAATTCTTTGTTGTAATTAGGTCTGAAATAAATTCCTACTTTGATGACTTTGATTTCATTGATGGGAGGACTCCTTCCAGTACTGTAGATTATAACCTATCAACTTCTCCTAATCCTGTGTGACTCGTGTCCTTTTCTTGTAAGTATTTTCCAAGGTGTCACTTGATTACTAGAGGCCTTCTATGTTGCTTGACCCTACATGGATACCAGTGGAACAAATAGGCTCTTTATCCCTTATCTTTTATTCTTGCTATGTAATGGTTCACCTCATTTTCCAGACATACATCTCTCTAGTAATATCCTTTATACTGCTTCTTTATAGCCTATTCATGACTACCCTTTTCTTTTAGGTGATCTGCGAATAGTGGCAAATAAGAAATAAGCCAAGACCTAAATTTTTAGGATTAGAAAATAGCACTTATTGGTTGAAGATAAAAGTTTAAGCAAGCGCATGATTTCAACACAATGTACTTTATATTTGCAGAAGTTATCTATAATATTAAAATTAATGAATCAGTTATACTATAAATATATATTCAGAAAACAAAAGAACCTAAAATTAGATCTCTGGAACATTGGGTAGCTCTACTGTGTAGGACCTTTGCGAGAAGATGGACAAGAGTCCAACAGAATAATAAGGTGTGCGTGGGTTTTGATCTGCACCAATAGAGGGAGAATGTCCATTCCAATGAGATCATGTTTGCATTGATGCAGATATGTATAATATATGCAAATATGCACTATATATATGCAAATATATATTCTACATTAGCACTTAGTACCCTCTACTTGTCACCACTTCAATGCATATAATCTTACTTTTTAGTTAAAAACCTATCAGAACACAAATTAATCTTATAGAGTAAAAGAGTTTTCAAACCTCAGCTGATGCTTACCTTAATCATTCATTTACTCATTCGTTGAGCAAGTATTATCAAGTGCTCACTATGTACAAAGTACTACTATAGGTACAGTGTATTTGCAGAGAAATAGAAATGGATAAAATAGGGTCTCTGGTCTCATGGAGTTTATAGTCTAATAATTTATAGCCAGGCTACTTTGAAGCAATACTCAATAGAACAAATTTCCAGAATAAGAAAACGATTTGGACAAGCCATTTAAGTTAGTTGAAATGCAACTCGATCTTGGGTCAAACTTCTTCCACTTAATTTCCAGCCTTCTAGCATGTTCTTTGCTTTTTAGGACAATTTATTCGCTAAGTAGAATGAGTTTAAATCTTAAAGCCAGAGAGAGACCTAAAGGGTCATCTGGTGCAGCCTCATTTTACAGGTAAGGAAACTGACACACTAGGAGAGTGACTTTGCTAAATTCTGGGGCAGAGCTGGGAGTCAAATGCCAATCCAACACTCTACTACATGAAAAATTGATGGTAATTATAAATCTGTTCCAAAATGTTTGATTTCAAATATTAATCTTAATTTCTGGATATAAAAAGAAAAATGTAGAAGTGTTGCCAACTTTGTAAATTTGGCACTATTTTTCCATGGACAAAAAATATTAAAAAAAATTTTTAAGCCAAAATGAATTTTCACATTCTAAAGAATATAAATTTAGTTAATTTTAAAATATTATCCTATTTTGTTATATCCAACTTAATGGGAGAGAATGAGATTGTCAGTGTTTGTATAAGAAAATAGTTCAATACTTCACCAATCTATCATGTTATCAGTGTGGATGCTCCTTCCTTTGGAATATTTTATTTTTAACACATCTCCATTGTCTTTGAAAGATGCTGTTACCAAAAAAATTCATCATCCTGCAAACCAGATGATGAGCTGCTTCTAATATAAGCTGGCTCTTGGGTGAAAAAAATAAAAGTCTGATTCCAAACCCATTACTTAAATCCTTTCCAGCTTGTTAGAATCTTCTAGAACTTGTACTTCACTGGAAGAGCTTTCACAAGTCCGGTATCACCTTCAAACCATGAATGGACATAAGAGGAAGAATTTGTTATTTGTTGGCAGTATGTAACAAATGTCCTAAAATATTCCAAATGGGATTTTCACCAATATTTATATGATATTTAGATGATTATTTAAAATATCAAGTAACAAATGACTCCTTACTATACGTAGATCTAAGATCAACAAGCTATAATCAGTCAAATACAGTGTGTAGGTATGATTAGCAGAATCCCAGCCATCTTCTGGATCTTCTTTGGGCCAGTCCTGGGGCCCGTTAGCAGATAATACCTCTTACCAATTTCCAGTCTCATCCCGGGACTTGTGGTCATCTTAGGCCAATCTGGATTTTATCTAAATCAGGGGTTTCCAACCTATAGGTCCCCAGGTAGGAGAAGGGGAGGAGAATCTGTGGAGTGATTGTAAGGGATCCATGAATCCATATGGACATCAAGCATTGTCATTTTAATCTTTAGTGCTGACAAAATATGAAGAATCATGTTGAGGGCCGATCTTAAGAGTCTGATAAGGGTTTAAGATCCAAGGCAGAGTTTGACCTCTGCTCAGGCTTTCACCCCAAAGGGCTCAGGGATTAAGTGGTAAGGCTCCCCAAATTCCTTCCTGATAAAGAGGTCTCTGAGATATCCCTTCTCTCTCTTTGAACCTTAGATTTACTTATTTACTCCTCTATGCAGGTGGCGCCTAGGCGCCTGGGAAAACCTTGGAATCTACAGCCCAATCTAAGAACCCTGATAAGGAGGAAATTCATGATTGTTACATCCTCAGCAGATGTTCTGGGGAGTATCTCACGGGGAGGACTCTTTGAAGTTAGGCTAGATCTTCCCTATATATTCTGTGCCCTCAGATGAATAAACGGAGTCAGTAATTCTACTCCGCCTGGCCCATGTCATAAGTTATTTCATGCCTCTCCGTTTGGTGTACAATCTGGTTGCGGGCAACAGAATCACAGTATAAGATTAACACCTTATGTAAACTAAATGTCTTGTACATATACATACCACTTTTCCAAATGTATGTAGATGTTTTAATAAATGCAAATTCATTGAAGTTGCTAAATTCATCATAGCTCTGTTATATATTTTCACAGATGTATCAGCAGATATTATTAGTACAGCTGTTATATTGAAAAGCGGTTCTCATCCTTAAAAGATTGGGAATCACTGATCTAAATCTCTCCTTACTCTTCTGGACCAATCACACCCAGGGGTCTTTGCTGAAGGGACAGTTTTGGAATAATTTCCCAATTCCCTGTCTTCTGGAACTTTGAGACTGGCTAGTTTTGTACACTATATGGACTACTTTAGGTAAGAGGAATGCAGGAACCCATCATGCTTATAGGAGTATGCTCATATCTGCCCTTCCTAGTGGGTTATATAGGGCATGTGAAAATATTCCTTGCCAATATGTGGAACTTTGGAAGGCTTTTTCTAGCTATTCATGACCAAAGGGCTTGTATTGTATGATGTCTTCTAATTGGCTGCAGAACTGACATCTGAACACTTAGTGTTGCTGAGCCGGAAATAAATGGAGAAACAAAAGGTGTGACTCACCTATCTGCTCTTCTTTGGGTGAGGAATCCTTTGAACTGCATGGAGCAGGGGCAGTTGGCCACATTACCCCACCAAGCTCACACACATGATCCGTGACTACATAGTGTCTGTTTTGTTTGTGTTTATTCTTTCCTGATTTTAGGCAAATGAATATTCTGAGACGGGAGTGCCCAGATAACCTAGAGAGGTTAGAAGATCCAGAGGTTCCATCAACAATTAAAATTGGTAGCAGAGTCCACCAGA